GTGGCCCAACATAAGCTGACCACTGCCTACATCTCGTGTCACATCTCATGCCACCTTTCCCCTTGCTCCTGGTCCTCCAGGCGCAAAGACCTTCTCCCTGTCCCATAAACATATCCAGCTCTCCCCAGCCTCAGGGCCTCTTCCCACGGTTCCTCAGACGGCAGACTCCGCATCCAGCAAGTTTCAGCTGCAATGTCACCTCCTAAGAGAAGACTGCTCACCTGATTGAAACCCTCTGGCATAGCACTTTCTTTCTGTTTTTGTTTGTTTTTTTTTTTTTTTTTTTTTTTGAGATGGAGTCTTGCTTTGTTACCCAGGCTGAAGTGCAGTGACATGATCTCAGCTCACTGCAACATCTGCCTCCCGGATTCAAGCAATTCTCCTGCCTCAGCCTCCCAACTAGCTGGGATTACAAGCAACCACCGCCGCACCTAGCTGATTTTTGTATTTTTAGTAAAGACAGGGCTTCATCATGTTGGCCAGGCTGGTCTCAAACTCCTGACCTCAAGTGATCCTTGTGCCTCAGCCTCCCAAAGTGCTGGGATTACAGGCGTGAGCCACCGCGCCTGGCCTGGGATGGCACTTTCTTTTTCTTTCCCAGCAGGCCATCACCATCTGTGATTATTTCATTTATTTGTCTGTCTGTCGTCTACCTCCCACCCTCAGCCCAACTGGACTGTGAGCTCCATGGAAAGCCTTTACCTGTCTTGCTCACCACTGGATTCCCAGCGCTGCCTCTGGTGCAGTGCCACAGCATCTGACACAAAACCAGTGCTCAAGAAACATCTTAAATTAATTAACAGAATGGAAGGATTAGCTCCTAGAGTCAGGCATGAAGGAAAAAAGAGCTGCGCTTAGAGGCCTTTTCCATGCAAACCATTTGCATCCAGAGATTTATGAAGCTATTTCTCTTTCTCTTTTTCTCCCCTCACCAAAACGGGTATAGGATGGGGATATTTTCCATGGATTTAGGGAACTTCCAGCTGTCCAACTTTTAAAACATAGTCCATCCATCTGAGTATATGCTGAGAATGGGATGCTTGGAAATAGGGCAGCTTTATCCAGGGGCAGTGTATGTTTTTCTAACTAACTTGGGGTGGGGATGGAATGAAAGGTGGTTGAATAGGGCAGCGACTAAGCAGAGGACGATAGAGAGATGGGCGGGTATTAGGGAATTCTGCCCAGTGACCTGGCTCCTGAACACCTACCCAGTCAATCTTGTGACATTCAGCTCATCCCAGTGTAACCCTTACCCATCCACTCCTGTCCTGTTGGGCCTTGTATTTAATCCTGAAATCCCATCTCTTCTAAGAAGACTTCTCAGATTAGTTGTGGCAGAGTGAAAAGTGTAAAGGATTAGGGGGTTAGAGGACCTCAGTTCAAGCGTAGCCATTTCCTAGCTCTGTGACCTTGGGGGCATGTAACCTCACATCTCTGTGGCATAGTTGCCTCATCTTCAAAAAGGGGATAACAGAATCCACCTAACAGGATGTCTATGAGGATTAAAGAATTACAATATGAAAAATGCTTAGAACTGTGGGTGGTACATAAGAAGTAATGAACACTGATAGCTATTATTGCTGAAGATGGAAGATTTAAGGGCTGTGTTCCCCTTTCATACCCATACACTTATATTTCCCTCAGCCACCACCCACAAGTATATTTTCCCTTCCATTTATCTGATGGGTCCTCTCTATGTCTTTTGCTGGCTACTAACCATTGGTGTTTCCCAAGCTTCTCTTTGTGCCTTTTTTTTTTACCCTCTATGTGGTCCCCCTAGGAGAATCTCATCTTCTTACTTCTTCCATGACTTCAAGAATAGGCTGAGGATTCTAAAATATTATCTCTAGCCTCCAAGGCACCCCACCTCCTGTCCCTCTTCCTTGGACTTCCTGTCACAGTTATTTTACACTCAGTACATTCCACAACGAGCATGGGATCTTCTGTCCTAAGACTATGCTTCCTCCTGTGTACCTGAACTCGGTTAACCTGACAGTCATCTACCTGCCATCTGAAGCAGAAACCTGGACTACCATCCAAGACTCCTCTCTCTCTCACACCCACCAAGTCTAACTGATCACCAAGTCATTCAACTCCAGCTCATAATCACTCCATCCCTCCCTCTCCACCATCCCTGCCCCAAACTAATTCAGGTCCTTATTACCTCCTGCTTAAAATGGTACAACAGCAGCCTAATTAGTCTTCGTGGATGTCAAAGTTACCTGACTAAAACAAAAAAACTGATCATATCATTCCCTGCCTTAAAACCCTTTAATAACTTCCCATTGCCTGAAAGAGAAAGTTCAATCTTTTTACTATAGCAAACAAGATCCTTCGTGATAAGGCCCTGCCTTTTTCTTCAAGCTGGTGGCCCACCATCCTCCCTCCCATGCTCCATGCTCCAGAAGTACTGAGCAACCTCGTCCTCTCACACATCACATGCTATTCCACTCCACCACATTTGGAATATGGTGTTTCTTTGGCCTGAAATACCCTCTCTCCTACCTCTACTCATCCTTCAAGAGCTAACACATTCAACTCCTCAATGGAGCCTTTCCTCACTCCTCAGTGATCACTCTGACCTCAGACCTTCTGTATACTTGGTAAATACTTCAGCAACTCTCACACACACTGAAATTAATGTTCTACACGCTTAAGTTCTTTATAAGGCCCATGTCTTTCTCATCCATTTATGTCCAGATGCTAAAACAATGTTTGGCAAATAGTAAGCATCAATAAAGGTCACTGAGTAAAGGAATGAAGGTACACTTTCTAGTCCAGCTTTGCATGTTTCCTGTTCATAATCAGCTGGTACAACTGTACAGTATTTTACAGTTTCCAAACATTTTCACTATGTCATTAAATTCATGTGTCTGGCCAGGCAAGGTGGCTCACGCCTATAATCCCAGCACTTCGGGAGGCCAAGGTGGGTGGATCACCTGAGGTCAGGAGTTTGAGACCAGCCTGACCAACATAGTGAAACCCTATCTTTACTAAAAATACAAAATTAGCCGGGCATGGTGGCGGGTGCCTGTAATCCCAGCTACTCGGGAGGCTGAGGCAGGAGAATCACTTGAACCTGGGAGGCAGAGGTTGCAGTGAGTTGAGATCACACCACTGCACTCCAGCCTGGGTAACAAGAGCGAAACTCCGTCTCAAAAACAATAATAATAAAATAAATAAATAAATTCGTGTGTTCATGTACTTACTGCATATCAATTCTGCTGGAGACCACTGGAGTTACACCATCAGTAATGGGAGGGGGTGGGGCTACTCTGGAAAGGATGATCAGGGAAGGTCTTCGAGCTAAAAGCTAAAAGGATCTAAAGGATAGATGTGGGTAGAGAAAGAGAACAGACTTGAAACAAAAGCAAGAAAGCCAGTATGGCTGAAGCAGAGTAAGGTAAAGTGACTTATTTAACTGAAGATTCTTAACCCATGAGATAGATAGGACAGATAATCCCCAAATTCAAATGTTACATGATTTTCCCAACTGATGAACGAAGCTAGTAACAAGCCAGGCTCATCATTACAAGCCAGGCTTTTCCCAAATCATCAGTTGTCTATCACATTCACAGATACAGACAGGCACTGTCCAATGCAGTATCCATTTAGCCATACAAGCACTTGAAATGTGGATATTCCAAACTGCTATGTGTTGAAAACGTAAAATACACACCAATTTCAGGCCTATTATGAAAAAGGAGTATAAAATATCTCATTGAGGCCGGGCACAGTGGCTTACACCTATAATCTCAGCACTATGGGAGGCCAAGCCGGGCGGATCACTTGAGGTCAGGAGTTCGAGATCAGCCTGGCCAACATGGTGAAACCCCTCTCTACTAAAAAAACAAAAATTAAGCGGGTGTGGTGGTGTGTGCCTCTAATCCCAGCTACTCGGGAGGCTGAGACAGGAGAATTGCTTGAAACCCGGAGGCGGATGCAGCAGTGAGCCAAGATCGCACCACTGTGCTCCAGCCTGGGCAACAAAGTTGAGACTCCGTCTCAAAAAAAAAAAAAAACTCATTGATAATTTTCATCCCAACTTTGAATATTTGGGGTAATCAGATTAAATAAAATATATTATTAAAATTAATGTCACCTCGTTTCCTTATCTTACTAGAAAGATTTTAAATTACATATGTGGTTTCTATTGGACAGCAGCGGCATACACCCTCTCAGTATGTTTTTCTTTATTAGGAGCTCCCCAAGGGCCAGTTTCTTGAAAATTCTGCACAATGATTGCTGAGGGGCTCGCACCTCCCCTCCTCTCATTCCAGTTTTAACCCCAGCTCTGAAATTTGTGTGTTGCTTAACTTCTCTGAGTTTCAGGGGCTTTTCATGCCATCCAATAGGAATGACGGCCACTTCGTGGCTCTTTCAGGAGAATTAAGTAAACTTTATTGGGCAATACTGGCAGCCCCGTCATCGTCACCGCGACAGCCAGCTCACCCGGTAGCTCTCGAAGGCCTCGTCGATGGGCGCCATGGCGTGGGTCTGGTGCTCCTGGGACTCCCTGCATACCAGGCACACGGGTCGCTGGTCGTCCTCGCAGAAGAGCCGCAGCGGCTCCCAGTGGCGGCTGCAAAGGCCCGGGGGCACGGGGCCCAGGCGCCGGCGCCGCGTCTTCTCCGTCAGCCTGGCCAGGGCCCAGTTGGGTCGCAGCGCAGCGGGCGCCGATGGGTGCCGGCATTCGGGGCAGGGGAACGGGCCTCCGCCCGGCGCCCAACTGCGGTGCAGGCAGCCGCGGCAAAAGTTGTGGCCGCACTCGATGGACACCGGGTCCTGGAAATACTCCAGGCAGATGGGGCAGGTCAACTCCTCCTGGAGGTCCTCAGCTTCCATGCTGCTTCCCTGCCGCGGAGCCGCAGTCCGACGTGAGGCGAGGGAGAGGCCAGCAAGCTGCGAACGGCCGCGGAGAGACCAGACGACTTCCGAAAAACCGCCACGGCCTCACGTAAGAGGGTACTGCGCAGTGTCTCTTCCGGGGTTCAGGACCCAAAAGGAACGCGCACATTGCCCGGCCTGAGCGCGCAAGACCGGAAGCTGCTGGGTATCCGCGCCGGAAGCGCGCGAGGGTTGGCCCAGGCCTAGGCGCGGGGCCGGACGGAACCGTTGAGCGGCTCCTCCAAACAGGTGTGGAGACCCTGAAATGCCCGTGGAAGGCTAGAGAGGACTTGGGCAAGACATTAGGGCTGGACGTTGTGACCCCTGGTGGAGCCAACCGGGGAGGTGCCTCTAATCTTGGCCTTTCTTTCCAAGTTTGAGCGTTCAGGTCTGTGTTTGTCTGCTAGTTAGACTGATTTAACTTCTAGAGTCCCAGGAGTTCTGGGCGAGCTGCAGCCTAGGGGCCTGGAATGCCAGGAAGACTTGAAGGATCTGTGTTGGTAGGCCTGGAGTTTGGCTAACGTGGGGATGATTTGGATTCAGAGATTGCCTTTTTGGTATCCAATTTGAAAAGTAGCAACCATTTTGCTATCCCAAAGAACATCCATGGAGGCTTTCAACAAATAATATGCTTGCCTGTTTCAGGGAATTATCTATATCCCTTAAGTGGATTTTTGATCTTGTGTTTCTGAGGTGCTTTGCTTTTTATTCTTCCCACTTTCTTCCTTTTCTTGTGAATGATATTTGTTTAAAAAAAAAAATAAAAACTGGACTGACAAATTTAGTAGAAGTTATTTGCACAAAGAACAATTCATGAATTGGGCAGCTCTCAGAACCAAAAGAGGTTCAGAGAGCTCTGCCCAGCAGTATGAGCTACTAGCTTTTGTAGGAAGCAAAATAGAGAAATCACCTGATTAGTTAACATCTAGGTGTCTGCCTTATTTCGCAATGATATGATGAGGCATTTGCCTTATTGGGGTATGGTCTGATCAGTTGGTTGTCTGTCATTGGCTGAAGGTTGGCTGTGATTGGCTGAAACCCAGCTATTTGCTATAAAAATATAGTAAGTTGGTCGGGCGTGGTGGCTTACGCCTGTAATCCCAGCACTTTGGGAGGTGGAGGCAGGCGGATCACAAAGTCAGGAGATCGAGACCATCCTGGCTAACACGGTGAAACCCTGTCTCTACTAAAAATGCAAAAAATTAGCCAGGCATGGTGGCAGGTGCCTGTAGTCCCAGCTACTCTGGAGGCTGAAGCAGGAGAATGGTGTGGACCCAGGAGGCAGAGCTTGCAGTGAGCCGAGATTGCGCCACTGCACTCCAGCCTGGGCAACAGAGCAAGACTCTGTCTCAAAAAAAAAAAAAAAAAAAATACATATATATATAGAGAGAGAGTAAGTCAGACTTCAGTTTGTTTACATACTAAGTCACGTTGTATTTTGTTATATAAGAACTCAAGTACCAAGACAGCCTCAGGCTAATGGGCTTTTGCTTATTTAACAGATTTTTCATTCTTCTTATGTCCCAATATCAAATACTGCCTTTCCCATAATAATTTTTCTTATTAGAAAAAGGGGTTCTTGAGATATCTGTTTTAGGGTTATTGCTAAAAGTTCTACTGAATATTTCTAAAACAATTTAAATTAGACAACTAATGAATGGATTTTCTTTGTAAATTGGAATACTCTGTGGAGAAGGAATCTGCTTCTTTAATAGGGACCAAGCAGAAAGGAATGCTCTTAACAGTTACTGATATTTACCATGAGTGTTTATGGCATCTGTGTGTCTGTATGTCTACCTAAGTATTGCATGAAAAGTTTCAGCATTCCTGCAAAGTATTTATTCCCCTTACTGTGGTCATTTAAATATTTTCAGGTAAATTCCTTAAAATCCTTATGTCTTAATTCTTGCCATACCAGAGATTACCTTCCTTCTTTAGTGAGTCTCCCTAATTCACAATTTTTCTCCATCACAAAATGTCTATAAGTCTGTGTACCAGCCAAGGTTCAATCAGAGAAGTGGAATCACTATGTTTCTTCATGTTCGCAGGGCAAGCAATTAAGAAGGGAAGATGAACATAAAGTAGGGAAGAGCAAGAATGAATTGTAACCTAAGACACGAGTTGGTCATTCTTTCACTGTCTCCAACTTTAAAGATACGAGTATCCTTGCTAGAGGAGCTGACACTCTTTGCCACAGGACTAGACACACACATGGCTCAGGAATCAAAAAAGCTGAAGATGACTCAGGGGAAGGCTTCTGCCCCATCCCAACAAGGAGAACCAGCTGATTGGTGACAAAGTGCATGAGCTGCAGTAGCACCTAGTGTCCCTGCACCACCGTTTCAACTATAAAACTGGAGGGATGCTTCGGTTCTGCCCTTCAGGACTTACACAACCATGTCTTTTCCGGGCTATTCTAACCAGAAACAAAAGGAAAGGAAATTCTGGGAAACATAGTTTAGCTTAGCAAAGTTGAGATATTACAAAATTACCACTGTCCACTCTGTGTCGAGTTGACATAAATACAGCCCTCCTTAAAACATACTTTCAAAATAAAGCCCACACCCTACACATAAGCTATCTCTGGAGAAATTTGAAGTCTCTTGTGCACTGAGGATAACCACAACAACAAACTGTAAACCTAGCCCAATTTCTGACTAGATTGATACCACCAAACCACCGCTATGCACTCAAGAGCACTAAAGTCCTAGCAGAAGGAAAGACACACTCATCTCCAAGCATTAAAAAAATTTTTTTTTACTTCATACTATGAAGAGGGAATTGAAAAAATAAGCAAAAAAATATATAACATGTCCAACTTTTAACAGAAAGAAGACACATACGGAAAAGCAAGAAAAAAACACAGTTCAAAGAGATAAAACAATCATTAGAACCAGACTCATAAGACATAGACATTAGAACTGTCAGATAATTTTAAATAACTATGATTAATGTGATGAAGGCCCTAAGGGGAAAGTTAAACAAAATGCAAGATCAGATGGGTGATTTTAGCAAATACATGGAAATTATAAGGAAAAATAAAATGGAAACTATAAAAATAATATAAGGCCGGGCACGGTGGCTCATGCCTGTAATCCTAGCACTTTGGGAGGCTGAGACAGGCAGATCACTAGTTCAGGAGATCAAGACCATCCTGGTTAACACGGTGAAACCCCGTCTTTACTAAAAATACAAAAAAATTAGCCAGCCGTGTTGATGGGCGCCTGTAGTCCCAGCTACTTGGGAGGCTGAGGCAGGAGAATGGCATGAACCCGAGAGGTGGAGCTTGCAGTGAGCCAAGATTGCACCACTGCACTCCAGCCTGGGCTACAGAGCAAGACTCCATCTCAAAAAAAAAAAAAGAATTATATAGAGTTGAAGAATTCCTTCCATAGGCCCATTAGGAGACTCAACACAGTTGAGGAAAACATCAAACTTGAAGGTAGGTAAATAGAAATTCCTGAAACACACACACACACAAAAGAGTCACAGAAACAGAACACAGCATCCAAGACTGATGGGAAAATGTCAATATCAAATCAAGAAATAATGGCTGAGAATTTCCAAAATCTGTGAGACACCAAACCAATCCAAGGATCTCAGAGAACACACTGAGCAGGATAAATTCTTTAAAAAGAAACTAAGCTTATTGTATTCAAACTAAGCTTATTGTATTGATACCTGGTAGTTATAACTTACCAAATACACAGCCCAACATCTCCAGATGATCTATTATTTCTGAAAGTTTCCTTTATTACATTTCTTACTTCAGAGAGAGGAACTTTGGTCAACTTTCCTCATCACTATACTAAAAATCCTGCCCAAGGAGGAGCTTATTCACTGTATAGCCTTGGCTTCATGCTATGGTCAATGTTGCAGTATTCTCAGAAAGAAAGGACTGGTTCCATTTTACCTCCATCTTTTGTTTCCTGTCAGAAAACCTACCATACCACCAAGTACGCCTTCTCTACACTGCCTCTGATGTTTAAGTAATTTTAGAATTCTGTTGAGACTATCTCCCTTTTTAGGTATGATGAATCTCATCCTAAATTGCATGCCAAAGACTTTGAGAACTAAACTATGGGCCCAGTTCTCATGTCCCAGACTGGCCTTTCATTACCCACACAATGAATGGGTTAAATTGCTTGGCAGGTGACAGTCCAATGATCACAACCAAGGAGGATTTCCCAGGGGGATTTTATTACTTGCAATAAGTAAGGAGGACACTGGGAATAATTCCCCAAAGCATTGCCTCCCTGAGCAACGGTGCAAACATGGCTTTTATTAGTCTGGTTAGCTGAGTCACTGTATGTACAGGTGGAGTCAAGGCAGTGCAGTCCCAGTTGTCGGTCATGCTTCTACATATGTCACATGTATAGAAAATGGTTAAGCTTCTCCTTGGGCAGGATTTTTAGTATAGTGATGAGGAAAGTTGGCCAAAGTTCATCTCCAACTCAGGCATCTCTGGGTCCAACTGGTCTTTGTTTTTCCTGGGCTGAGCTTCTTCCTGGAACTTTTTAAAACAAAAATTCAAGATATAACAGTTACAAGTGGGTAACTTTTTCACCATGCATACCCAAAAACCTAAGGACCCTGGGTTATACTTTAGGTGGCACTCATGTGGGACCTGTCGGAAGAGTACTACAAAGGCTTTGAAAACTGAACTGACATTGGAACCACAACCCTCAGAAGGCTGGTCAAAACTTACGACTTGAACCCAAATGGGTTAATTACCTTTTAAAACATAAATATCAAGATCCTCCACCAAACTTAACCAAGACCCAGAGCATCCTAATGACATTCAAAATGTCCAGGATACAATCGAAATTAATTGGCATGTGAAGAACCATGAAAATCCCAACTCACGTTGGATAAAAAAGTAACAGATGCAGAATGTAAGTTGCCACACATGTTGAAATTATCAAGGCTATAAAGCAGCTATTCAAATGGAAAGTTAAAAAGTCTCAGAGAAGTAATAGAAAATATAAAGAATAGCCCCATGGAAATTTTAGAACAGGAAAATAACAAAAACCATCATCACATCATATCCAGGGTACATGCTGTCAATATTGCTTATCACTGTTGATGTTAAGCAATCACCTTGATCACCCAGCTGAGGTAGTATTTGACGGGTTTCTTGCCTGTAAAGTTATTCTTCCCCCTTTCCCCCTATTTTACTGTTTAGCAGGAAGTCACTATGTGCAGCCCATGCCTAAAAAGGGAGTAGCTGGTGGGCACGGTGGCTCACACCTGTAATCCCAGCACTTTGGGAGGCTGAGATGGGTGGATCACCTGAGGTCAGGAGTTCGAGACCAGCCTGGCCAACGTGGTGAAACCCCGTCTCTACTAAAAACACAAAAATTAGCCAGGCATGGTGGCACACACCTGTAATCCCAGCTACTCAGGAGGCTGAGGCAGGAAAACTGCTTGAACCTGGGAGGCAGAGATTGCAGTGATCCTGCCATTGCACTCCAGCCTGGGTGACAAGAGCAAAACTGCATCTCAAATGAAAAAAAAAAAAAGTGAGTAGTTATATTTCACCTCCTTGCGGTGGAGTATCTACATTCTTCTGTATGAGAAATTTGTCAGTTATCTCCTATTTATTATTTATATTATGAACTCATTGATTCTTGTTTTATACTTTGGGTTATAATCCAATACTATGTTGTTTATTTTACTGCTGAGATTATTCCTGTGTAGGCCACTGGGAGCTTTTTCAGTTGACACCTGTGTCCCTTTGACGAACTCCTGTCATTTTGTGGGGAAAAGGGAGTAGCACTTTCTTTCTTTTCTACCGCTACAAAATTCTCCAGTATTATCTTGTATTTCTCTTCCCTAACGCTAACGTCAATAATTCGCATTTCTCTAATGATAAATGATGTTAAACATCTTTTCATATGCTTTCTTATTATCTATATATCTTCTTTGATGATTACCAAGGATGGGAAGGGTAGGGGGGGAAAGTGGAGATGGTTAATGGGTACAAAAAATAGAAAGAATGAATAAGAATTAGTAGTTGATAGCACAACAGGGTGATTATAGTCAAAAATAATTGCACATTATAAAATAGCTAGTATAATTGGATTGTTTATAACAGAGGCTAAAGGCTTGAGGTGATAGATACCCCATTTAACCTGATGTGATTATTACACATTGCATACCTGTATCAAAATACCTTGTATACCCCATAAATATATAACCTACTATGTGCCCATTAAAATAAAAAAGTTTTTAAAAAAGAAATAATGCTGAGACAACTGAATATCCACATGCAAAAGATAAAGTTTGACATTTATCTTACACCATACACAAAAACTAACTGAAAACCAACCAGAGACCTAAATGTAAAAGCTGAAACTATAAAACTCTTATGGAAACATAGGCATAAATCTTTATGGCTGTGAATTAGGCAATCGTTTCTTAGGTAGTATACAAAAATCATAAGCAACAAAAGAAAAAATGGATGTTAGACTTCATCAAAATTTAAAACTTTTGTGCATCACTATCAAGAAAGTGAAAGACAATCATAGAATGGGAGAAAATATTTGGAAATCATACATACAATAAGTATCTAATACCCACAATATATAAAGAGCTCTTACAATGCAACAACAAAAATATCAAAAAACAAGCCCTATTTATAAATGGGGAAAGGATTTGAATAGACATTTCTCCAAAGAAGATATACAAATAACCACTAAGCACATGGAAAATGTTCAATGTCATTAGCCATTAGGCAAGTGCAAATCAAAACTACAATGAGATACCACTTCACACCCACTAGGATGGCTAGAATTTAATAGACAAATAAAAAGTGTACCCACATTGCTGATAGGAATGTAAAAATAGTGCAGCTGCTGTGGAAAACAGTTTGTCAGTTCCTCAAAAGTTGAAACGTGGAGTTTCCTTATGACCCAAACATTCTATTCCTGGGTATTTATCCAAGAGAACTGAAAACATGTGTTCACACAACACTAAAACTGAGTCCAGGTGTGGTGGTTCAGGACTGTTGTCCAAGCACTTTGGGAGGCTGAGGCAGGCAGATCACCTGAGGTCAGGAGTTTGAGACCAACCTGGCCAACATGGCAAAACCCTGTCTCTACAAGAAATACAAAAATCAGCTGGGTGTGGTGGTGTACGCCTGTAGTCCCAGCTACTCAAGAGGCTGAAGCAGGAGAATCGCTTGAACCCAGGAAGTGGAGGTTGCAGTGAGCCAAGATCACACCACTGCACTCCAGTCTGGGTGACAGAGTGAGACTCCATCCAAAAAAAAAAAAATTGGTACACATATGTTCACAGCAACGGTGGTCATAAGAGCCAAAAAATGGAAACAACCCAAATGTCCAGAAACTGAAGAGTGTATAAACAAAATGTGGCCTATCCTTAAACAAAATGTGGTATGTTCTAACAATGGAATAACATTCAACCATATAAAGGAATGTAATACCGAAACATGCCACAACATGAATAAACCTCAAGTTATGCTCAGTGAAAGAAGCCAGACATGAAAGACCACATATTGCATGATTCCATTTGTATGAAAGAGTAGGAAAACCAATAGAGACAAAACCATATG